GCAAGTGATTTTGCCAGCTGCGGGTAGTTTCTACGACTGTGTGACAGTTGGAATTCTGCGACTTTTCAGTGGGTTCATAAATGCTAGGGCCCTGATGGGTAGGGTTAGTGGCTGTTAGTCATTTGGGGGAGGAGGGCTTATTGGATGGTTGTTGGTTGCTATAGGTTGCTGTTGGCCATGGTTTGTCAGTCATGTGCAAAGAAAAAACAACAAAAAGAAATTAGATCTCATGATGGTAAAGATCAAACTTTCCCCTAATCAGCAGGAAGTAGTCTAACCTTAACGTTGTTCCCCCCCCCTTCCAACTCCTGACTTTATTCAGGGATCTCTTTCCTTTCCTCTCTTTTTTTTTCTCTTGTCTATTGTTAGGGGATTGAAAGAGTGGGAAAGGGATGGAGAAGGGTGGAAGGAATAAAGAAGCCGCCAAGCAGCTAAGCCCAGCTACAGATGTGGCCTCTGAAAGGTTGGCTACCTGCCCATGCTCCAGTAAATGTACCTATGTACATATATAGGTCTATACATCTATGAATATACATATACATGCTGGCAACAATATGAAGGCTTAGTGATTTTCCCACACTTTATGACTTTTTTCTGACCTTGAAAATGGTGGGTGAGGGCTGGAGAAGGATAAGCCCTTCTCAGTTACAGGGAGGATTTGAATGTCTTTTTCCACCCTTAATGTTCATTCTGTTTTCTGCTTTCTTTCTTCTTTTTCTTTTGGTCTGGATACAGGAGCCATGGTCTGTGTGTAAAGGTCAGAGGATAACATTTATGGAGTTGTTTCCTTCTGTCCTTATGTGATTTCCAGGGCTCAAGCTCTAGTCACTGGGCTTGCATGGTACCTTTATCTACTGCATCATCTTAATGACCCTTTACTTTAATTTTTGAGACAGGTTGCTTCAATGAACTTGGAACTCACTAATTGACTAGACTGGCTGGCCATGAAAGTTCTAGGAACCCTCCCGCGTCTACTTTCCAGTAGTTCTGTGATTACAGGCATGCACTACTGTACCCAGCCCTTTATATGGCTGCTGGGGATTAGAACTTTCATATTTGCATGCTGAGTGCCTTACCCAGAGAGCCATCTCTTCACTCTCCTCTCTACACCAGAGAGAAAGGGGAACAATTAAAGAAAAATAGCTAAAGGCCTTTGGTGGTTTTGTTTTTGTATTTTGGGGCCTAAATACTGTGAACAAATAACAATAACTGTTTTTTGTTGTTGTTGTTTAAGAAAGTAACACATTTAATGCAGCATATTTTGAAAATATGGAAAAATGCAATTTTAAAATTACCAGTAATTATGGTGCCCAGAGATAAATTGTAGCCATATTTTTGTGCTTGCTTTAGTCATGCCCACATGAAAATGTTTTTCCTCTTTTTGTAAAGTTAGAATGTTATTCTTTAAAGTAGTAGGTCCCCATTATTTATTTTTTAATGTCGATTTTTAATTATTATTGTTTTATTGTATGTGGAAGGGTGCTTTCTTAACTCTTGCGATGGCTATTCTTGGTTGTCAGCTTGACTGTGTCTGGAATTAAAACCCAAAAGCCTGGGCACACCCGTGAGTGATTTCTTTTTTCTTAATCATCCCTCCACTGGCATTAGCACCTACTTCTTCAGCATTCGTCTCATACTGAAGACCAGCTGAGACATTCAGTCTCATGGATTGAACGACTACTGGATTCTTGGACCTTCATTTGTAGGCAGCCATTCACATTATCAGAGTAGCTGGACCATGACCTGTAAGTCACTCTAATAAATCCCCTACAAACACACACACACACACACACACACACACACACACACACACACACACACACA